TCGCCTTTTACAGAAGCAGGCGTCTCGCTTGAGACATCCACTAGATAATGGAAGTCACAAGGTTAACACACCTATGAAAATGGGGCTATCGCCCGAGACATCTTTGAAACAATGATATTGAACAGGTTGGTATAAAGCCATTCGTGTTAACATTAAGCTTTTCGTTTATGACATCTTCAGAACGTGGGCAGGATCACGACAGACCAACATGTAGGAGCACGGCAGAACGCGCGGGAGCACGGCAGAACACACAGGAACACGGCAGAACACACAGGAGCACGGCAGAACACACAGGAGCACGGCAGAACCCAAATAACACTTCCGTAGCCATTTTGGCTCAAGGCCATGGGGAGCCCGACGACCGCAAGTCGTTCGCGGCGTTCTGAGCGCGAGGGTCTCCGCGCTTTGGGCCAGTGCAATTTCTTGTTGTGCTTCCTGCTCTCGCAGCGTGGGGGCGTGGCCCTGCGGGCGGCGCAGCGGGCGCCATGGCGAGGCCCCAGCGTGGCGGCAGCAGTGGCAGGCGCAGCAGGACCTATTGGATGTGCAGCTGCGGTGCTTGGAACTGGGACTGGCGCTCCACGTGTCTCAGCTGTGGGTACGCCGCACCGCCCTGGGCGCAGGGATCACCCCACGGCAAGGCGAAGCCCGAGGCAGGCAAGGACGGCTGGGGGGACCAGCCTCGGGGGCGCCGAGCCCAGCGGCAGGCCCGCAGCGCAGCTTCGCGTACGACATCCACCAAGTCGCGGACCTCGGCTTCAGCGGCGAGTGGGGCGCCCAGCGGCGGAGGAGTCACGGCGATCGAGAGGCTGCAGACAACGGTCGAGCGGCTCGAGGCGCTGCAGGCTGGGCCACCCGACGGCGTCGACAGCTGCTTCACTGACGTCGTGGCCAACCAGCTGGAGGCGAAGAGGGCAGAATTGGCCAGCGCCCAGAGGGAGGCAGCGGAGCAGAAGGCCTCCGCAATGCCGCGGTCAGCTCTGCTGCACAAGGAGGCGAACGCCATCAACAAGGAAGAGAAGCGACTCCGCTCGGCCCGCCAGGCCCTTGAGCAGAAGCAGGCGGCGCGGGACCTCGTGGAGGTCCAGCTCCAGAGGGCCCAGGACGAGCTCGCGGCGCTCGACGGCGAGGTGGAGGGGGCCAGCAGGGCGCTCCAGGTCCTCGAAGAAGCAGCCCGTGAGGAGGCGGAGGCGCGGCGGCGCCAGCGCGCAGCCGAGCGGGCTGGAGCCAGCCATGTGCCAGGGCTCCTCGCGCAGCTGGACAGGCTGCCAGAGGCCTGGGGCTCCAGCAACTTCGAGGTGGCATGGGCGGCCGTACGCACCCAGGTGGAGGCGGTGCGGGCGCAGCTCGCAGTGCCCCCGTCAGCCCCCAAGTGAGCGCCGTGGGCCGAGTCCTGCCCCATGGGCGAGATCAGCAGCGATGACAGCGAGCTCGCAGGCGGCAGCGGGCCCTGGCAGCCGCAGCCCGCTGCGGAACGTGGCCAAGCCGAGCGGCGTGGCAGCGCACTCGGCGAGTGGCCGCAAGTGTCCCAGGCATGCAAGAGGGAGCTGGTCGCTGAGGCTGCGGACCTGGCCCCTCTGGCTGCTCGCCCTACTGGCCACGCAGCTGGGGGCAGCGACGGAGGAGCGCAGCCAGGGCAGACGAGCGCCTAGCGGGGCCAGTGCGGCGGGACAACGCCCGCGCGCGAGCAGCAGCGCCGAGGGGGCCGGCGGCGGCAGCAAGCGGCTTCACGACCTCGGGAGCGGGCCGGCCCTGCCGGCGCCAAGCCAGGCCTCTGCGGCGGCTCGGGGCTTCCGCGGCGGGCGGGAGGTTCTCGGGGTGCGCGGCGGCGCCGGGCGGAGGAGCCTGGAGGTGACTGGGGCCTCCGTCAGTCGGCGCGGAGCCAAGCCCAGCCAGGTGCGGCTCCAGGAGACCAGCGTCGCCCCGCGCCGCCTAGAGGAGGCCAGAGGAGCTACGCGCAGCAGGGGGTGCACTGTCTCCCTCCGCCCGTTCGCGCCCTCGGACATGGAGAGCCCGCTGGTGCATGCAGGCAGCGTCGTCGATTCGGTTCGCTGCGCCCTGCGGGCAGTGAAGGTTGCTTGGCAGATCCCGAGCGGCCTCAAGCTTCGCATGGTCGAGGTCACAGTGTGCACCGCATCAGGCCTGAGGCAGCTGGCCTGCTCGCAGAAGGACGTCATGGACCTCCTGGCGGCTCAGGAGGCGCAGCCCCAGGCCCTGGGCGCCCGTGCAGCCATGCTGGTCTTCTTTCCCGAGTCGGATGGAGGAGTTCGACCGATCGTGAGCGCCCCACTGCTCATGCGCATCTGGGGCCGCCCGAGGCAGCCCATCGGCGCGCCGTGGGAGGCGGAGCACGACCATCGCCACTTTAGGGGCAAGGTGGACCGCGAGTGCGAGAAGGCAGGCTGGCTGCGCAACGCCTGTGCCGCTCTTGCGTGCGTGAGGGGGTGTGCCTCCGCCGGCCTCTGCCTGGGCATCGCCAAGCTCTACGTGAGCCTACGGCGCG